ATCCTGGTACTGCTATATTGGTTTCAAGGGTAAGAGGAAGAACTAAACAGCTCCTACTTGGTTGACTTTAGGACATTTAAGGACCCTCAGATTTTTCTCATTGGTAATAAAACATTCCCAACTTGTACCAATGTAAAAACTATGAAACCACTGCAGAATATCTCCATAGTTGTGTTGCCTTGTTATGTTAAAATCTGCGGAAGAGACCTAATTTTGTGTTGGAATTCACGAAAGCAATCAGAGGGATTAGTACAAAGAAGGAGAAGACACATTTGCCTTGGAAGAATCACAACTATTTGCTTTTTTAATGGCATCAAATGAACTAGAAAGTACCAATAATTCATTTGCAATCTCAAAGTATCAATAATCATTTTTGTGGGCAGATTCACAAGCATCCCCTCAAGCCATTTCCTTGGAAGTCCACAGCACTGGTCTGAAACTCAAAAACTGTAAATATTAGCTAATAAATCATTTCCTCAGTAGCATTACTTTATATTTCTTTGCCATAAATTTGAAAAATGGTTATATTTTTCAAATAGTTATATTGACCTTATTTTTGCTATAAATAATTTTGTTCTAACAAAGATTTAATAACAACAGATTTATAACAAATTATATTTTCCTTCTAAAACAATTTTATTTGGGTTTTAATTTCACTTTAGCATGTTTTAGTTTTTCTCTCTAACACGCATCCAATAAATTTAATTTTCTTTATTTCTATGGCATTTTTAATACTGGTATATTTATTAAGTGTGAAAAATCTCCAAAGCATCCAGTTTCATTAACTTTTCTTCCCCACCCCATAAATGTCAAAATCTATTTTCCTCAAACTCCTGAAATGTTCACATTCATGAATCTGCAAAAAGGAAATTCTTCTCTTTAAGAAGTAAATTTAGTATCAAAAAATTAACAATTGCCTACTTAACAGAAGTATTTACTTCTTTTTAAGTTTTTTTTTTCCTGTTATGCACTTTTAACTTTTCAATTTCATTCCTTAGATAGACTGCAGCAGCACATGTCAATAACAATAAAACTACAATGCAGAACAGTAACAAAAACAGAAACCCTGATACTAAGCAAAAGACAGAAGAGCTCATTTAGATAAGAGAGAAACTCGGATGACTACAAAATAATTTAAAACAGACTAAACAAATATGAAAACTAATCTGCATATGTTAATTGCTTAAACTTTTCACGACGGCGCACCTTTGTTTAAGACGCTCGTTCAGGACGGAAGGGAATCGAAAGCAGTCACCGTGCAGGACGGAGGTTTTGCATCACTAAACTTAATTTTATAAAAAAAAAATCAGGAAAAAAAAGTTTCGCTTCTAGCATCGTAATTTTTGGTATCATTTTAGATTATTACTTGAGCTCTTATATATGTTAAAAGTAGCACTTAATAAAGTTTTTTTTTTCCTTTATTTTACATGAAAATATACTTATTTTATAAAATTATACTTATTTATAAAATTTTCTTATCTTGTAAAATAATTTTCAGAAGCGCTATTCAAATTATTTCAAAGTTTTAATTGATAAAATCCCTCAATAAAGTTTAAAATTAATAAAACAACACAATAAAGACTACTTATAGTAAGAATTAACAAAATTTAAAATGAAGACTGAGTGTGGTCAATCTCGAAGCATGGAGAAGTATCACTTTCTAACTCTTAGAAAAAGTATCACTTTCTAACTCTTTAGAAAACAAATCATCACTCTCATCTGCATTAGTAAATGGTTCATTAACCATACGAGGGCTACTGCATTCTTCCTCTGATAAATAGCACCTTCCAGCCATAACAGACTGGAGGTAAGGATTTCCGAAATAAAAAGAGAAGAAACGGAAATATATCTGAAGGCAATGCAAAACGTAACAGAACTCGAAGTAACCCTAAAATCCACATAGTAACCCTAAAAGACCGTATATAGTAAAAAAAAAAAAAAAAAAAAAAGAATAGATTAAAAAAAAGAATTGGATGTAAATCACACGCGAATATTTATATTAGCACGCAACGATTTAAAGAGCCCACCTGTTTGCGCTTTAACTCCCCCCCACCCTCGCAACAATTAATGAGTAAAATACCAAAGTCAGACAGAATATATCAAACTCAAGGTAAGGAACCTAAAACTGTGTTAATTTCAAAAGTAATGGACATAGGATGCCATCCAGTAGCCTTCAGAAAAACGTTACAGCTTAAAATGCGTATACGCATCACCCGTTCTCTGAATGCAATTTCTAGTAATGCGCGGATGGGACGCCCGGCTGTAAGAGACATTCTTAGGAAACGCGTATATGGAACACCCGTTCTGAAAGAGTTAAGCAAGCAATAAGCTTGGTTGCTTAAACAACTAACCGATATTTGGATGTAGAGGCATTTGGGAGAATCTCACTGCAAAAAAGTTAAGATCAGAGATTATACTAATATCATTAATTATTATGGTAGCAATACTATCAGTTCCAAAATAATACAATGAATGTTGTCCTTATGAAGTGAATCATAAAGAAAAGGTTGAAATGGTGGAACGTAAATTGAAGGGAAAACGTTACACTTTTTACAGCAATAACAAAATATTTTTACAGAAGCAAATAAATTCAGTGAAACAACAGTTCGTGCAAGTTTCACTCTTGCATACATCATTGCAAAAGGAACAAAATCATTTAGTGTTAGTGAATATGTTAAAGAATGTCTGAACTTCTTTGTCCAGACCAACAACAATTGTTTAAAAATATTAGTTCATCAGCCAACAAACTAGCAAACCATATTAATGAAACTGCAAGTGATTTACTATGTCAGTTAAATGAAAAAAAAATTATAGATTTGCATCATTATCAATAGTAGCTGATGAGAACACTGACATCACATATGTAGCACTGCTTGCTATTTCAGTATGTATTGCTGCTTATGAATTTGAAGTAGTTGAGGAATTACTGGAAATAACTAATATGTCAGAAAAAACTGCTGCAGAGAATTTTTTTTTTTTTAAATAAAACTGTAATAGTTAAATATAAATTATATTGAAATAAAATGGTTGGATTTATAAGCAATGGTGCAGTTGCTATGGTTATTAAAAATAAAGGATTAGCTGTAAAATTAAGAAATATAATGAAAGAAGGAATTTTTTAGATCAACTATACATCACATTATTCATCAAGAAGGACTCTGTGCCAAAAGTTTGCAGATGGATGATATTATAAAAGCTTTATCAGTGGACGAGCTCTGAATCATTGAGAATTTGCTTAAAGAAACTAAAAGGGAGTACAGAGAAATGATTTATTATGATGAGGTGAGGTGGTTAAATCAAAGAATTGTTATTAAAATGAATTATTGATTTAATATATGAAATCAAAATTTTCATGGTGCAATAAATGAATAAATAAAACTATCAACGAGCTACATAATGATATAGGATAAAGGATTTAGCATTTCTTGTTGATTTAACAGGTCATTTAAATACTTTCAATAAAGAGCTGTAAGGAAAGGTCAGAACTTACTGACATGTATGCTTCTATAAAGCTTTTAAAGTTAAATTGCATATATGAAAAACATTGAAATAAAAAAAGAAATCACATATTTTTTCATGTCTTAAATTTTACTGCTAATACCTTCCTATTATTTCAAATGAAAAACCTCGAGACTACAAAAGAAAAATAACATTATTAAGAAAAGAATTTGAAGGCAGATTTGAAGAATTTAATGATTTGGATTCTAAATTATCTTCACTACAATTAAAAGTAAACATGAATAATGTATTAAAAAATCTACAAATTGAACAAATTAATCTACAGTGTAATATATATTTTTTAACATGTGAACAGTTTTTTTTTTTTTTTTTTTTTTTTTTTTTTTTTTTTTTTCCCCCGCAGTTGAAAATTAACAAGTCTGACTAAAGGACCCAACTGACTGATCAGCATCTACAGTCATACATGAAGAGAGTTTCCAGTAGTTTTTCTTCAAATGTTATCTAACTCGAAATGCCATCAAGTGGCAAGCTGTAATTAAAATCACAGAAATGTATAATTATTTACATAAAATCCTATATAGTTTTTCTGCACAGGTCGATAAAAATTTAACACATAAGGAAAGAGAATAGGTTGCATTATTTTTCTCAAGTTATGTTTTACTAAAGAGGTTTCTATTGTAAATTTTGTAAGTTTTCATAATTTGTTTAGGTTATAATTAAATTATTTAGTAATTAATTCAACATATTAGAATCATTTGAAATAAATGTCAATCCAAAAACTCAATATTTAACACATAGAATATTTAATTAAAAAATGCAACCAACAGAAATTTGTTAAAGATAAAAAAAATAAGCGGGATAAATTTTAATTTTTTCTTTTGCATTATTATTGGTTTTGTTTATACAGTCAAAAGTCGTTAATCCGGATTCGTCGAGACTTTGGCAATTCTGGATTATCGATTTTTCAGGATTATAGATCATCAGTTTAAATCTGGTAAGATGGCATGCAGAAATTATAACATTAAAAATATGAAACCGTAATTTATGAAATAAAGAACAATTATGATCTAAAGGGTATCAAAATTTACAAAAAAAAGCTTAATATTTATTTGTTTACTTTATTAAACATATCTTTCAATGTAAGTTGTTTAAGTTGCTTCATTTTATGTGATAATACTTTCTCTTTAATTCTATAAACAGACATAATTTCTTGTTCAGTTACGAAGTTCCGCTGTTCAAGTCCTATAATTGCTGTGTCGATAATCCCGACTAATTTGTCAATCGCTTTACCAGTTAGTGGTGTATATAACAGTATTATTAGGTAGTAGAATTTTAAAAAATCTCAGAACATTTCCATCATAATACAAAATTTAGTATTTAACGTTCTCATTTAATCTGACTTTTTTTTTTTTTTTTTTTTTTTAAGTAAAGATTAAATAACACTGTTATTCATCACTTTGGCTTAGAAGTAAGTAAATATTTTCTAATGCATTACGTATATAGTTAAAAATATATTTAAGATATTTCAAAAATTAACATACCAGAACAGAAATTTCTTACACTACACAAAAAAGAATTTTTACTTCTCAGATGATTTTGAATATGTGCAGTATCTGAACTAAAGTTTGAATGTTGCAACCTGAAGAAAATGAAAACAAATGTATTAATACATAATAAATGAGTTCATATCTATTGAAAATTTTTAAGAGACATTTTAAATAACAAGCAATCTCTTTTTCCAGTTTTCTACACATTTACCATATAAAAAAATTCTTTAATTTGAATTTGGAAACAGTATTACTACAGATAATATGACATTACTCCATAGAATACCTAATAACAAATACAAAAGGGGTAATTTTTAAAATAACTGTCAGAACCAACTTCCCAATTTATTATTATTACTGTGAAATTCAATGAATAAAAAAAATTACACGGAAACACATATTTAATGATTAAAGTAAACTGTGAAATGCTCCATCCCTCTTCTGTAATATTTTAAAATTTATTAATTTTCTCAAAACTAAGAGCATACAATATTTACCTGATAGTAAGTTTTTTTAATGGTTCAATTCATTTGCTTAGAATCAGTATCATTAATACTGTCAGTGTAATTAATTGTATATTTATGTTCAGTACCCTTGGATGAGTGAATTAGTGATTGCTGATGATCAAATAAGTGAAAAATGTATGGAAAACTGTTATTTAGTACCCTTGAAGTTACTTCATAATATTCAGTATATGATGAAAAAATTAATATAAACTTATTTTCAGAATTATATTTATATATCTATTAAATTTATATTATATTATTTATCTATTAAATACCATGGCTCCTGAAAGTTTTGGGGCATCTTACATTACAGGCTGAATTCAAATATTTTTTATCAGTTTTTAAGAAATAACTTTATTCTATTTTTTACAAAGCTACTCATAACTTTAATCACAAAGATATATTAAATAACTTTAAAAATTTACTAGTGATGCAAAAAATAATAAATTAATAAGTCCAGAAAAGTTTTGGGGTACTAAGACAAATTGTTAGAACCACAAAAATTGTTTTTAACATTAAAAAAATTTTACTATTTGGTGGACTATTCTCTTCCTTTATACACATTTCACACAGTCTGACATTTAGTTTACTAACTTTACAGCAACTTCTGTGCTAGTATCATCTTGCTTATGTTTGCCACTTGTTTCAGTTTCAGCTTTTAATGAATTGCTATGTTTGTTCACTTTTAGTAAATCCATATCTTATTCTATTGGAACTGAACTGAAAGAAAAAGATAGTATTTTTATTAAGTTAAAGGTAATTGCCAAGCAACCATATGGACATGTTTAAAATCACAGATTCAGAATTGGTGTCCTAATACAACAAATGAAAGAAAAATGGTTTCTAAGATCTAGTATTTGTCCTGATGCTTTTAAGTTACCTTTAAAAATGTTCAACCATATTAAAATGGTTTCAAAAATTATCATTTTCCCTAATCTTGTTGCAGACATGAAACTCAATGTCCACAATCATTCTTTACATATTGATACCAATTTCTCTGACTTCAATTTATTCTTTATTTTTTGCTAATGACTAATACAACTATCTGGAATGAAATATTAAATTTGCTCTCACTAACACAGATGACCTGATCTGAGTATAATGAAGTTTTACCTATCATATAGCATATATGCCCAAATAAGGGCTAAAGCATTTTGTTTTTCTTGATTTTAATTCTTAAAAACAATCTTCTTGCAAAATCACCATGATATTTAGCTGATTTCAATGTTTTTTTTGGAACTGCAAGAGAAATTGCTTTTTTTGAATCTTTCATTACATTCTACAAAACAGTTTTCTGGTACTCAGCTGTGGATTTCTTAATCTTTATTTTTGAATATAAAAAACTAATTTCTCAGGTTAACTTTCAGTGGAAAAAATCTTTTCTTATATCAAATCAGTCTTTTCTTTGAATCACTTTACAGCATTGTAAATTTATCTTTTTCGAGTATTTATTTATTTTAAGAATATTTTTTTAATGAAAGCAACTAAACTATGATTTCACAAAGCATACTAAATTAGAATTTAATAACTGAATAAATTTTAAAACATAAAATTAAAACAATATTCATATTATTGCCATATTGCCAAAAAATAAAAATTTTAAATCTTTTTTTAAATTTCTTTTGGAAAAAATAGATGTTTCAAGACATCAGGCAGATGTTTTTTGAACTGCTATTTAAATTTTTAAAAACTGTTAGCTATTTCTTTAGATAAAAATTAACAAAAATTATTTTTTATATAAAAATCATGTACCCTTTTTTAAACAACGGAACAGTTTCAACTCTCGGAGCCACTGTGTAATCACAGAATAATTTACAACTTCAGAATATATTGGATCTCTTTCTATATTGGTCTTGCAAAGTATCATATTGTGAAATATGCTGACCATGTAAAACGTAACCAGAAATATTTTATTATTTTGAATTCGTATTACAAATACTACATACTTAAATTAACAGTACCGTATTTCAATTACAGCTATAACTAATGCATAGCAAAATTTAAAGTATGAAACATTTTTACAGTAGAAATGTTAACAGTTACTTTTATATTAAATTCATGAAATAGGTAAGTTATTTAAAAAAAAAAAATTAAGAATCATTAAATCTGAAAATTACATTACATAATCAGTAAAATTTATTTTTAATGTGAAATATAAATATTACTTACCTAAAAGAAGAAAATACAAATCGTTGTTTTCTTACATGATATAAATTCGCATTAATTCGATTAGTATTGTTACGAACGCATTGAGATATTATATTTCTAGCTCTAAACATTTTTTAATTTAAAAAATATAACAATTTTAGAATACAGCCATCAGAAAAATAAGATGAAAATTGAAAATCGGCAGAAGGTCAAAGCGCAGAAAGATATCCTTCTGCTAGCAAATATTGATGCCAATCAGAGAACACAAATAATAAATAAGATGATCCAGAAACTACTTTAAATAGATTTTTAGAAATGAATCAGGATTATTTTTCAATAAAACAAATCATTCAAAGGTAAAAATACGAAAAATTTTAACAAGTTATTAATAAAATAATATTTGGTTTAATCTATATTTTAGGATGCTCCTTGGATTATCGCGAAGTTAATGTTTCATTTATCGCCAAATTGTCGTTTATGGTAACCTGAGTAGTTCGATTGCTATGGAAACCCTATTATGACGTGATTGGTTACGTGATTGCGGTGAATTTAACTGATGGGAAAACATTTGTAACATTCCTCCCCTTGAAACGGCCAATGTTAATCAGATGGCTTTTACGGACACTTGCTACACAAGTCAGTCCAAATAACGATGCCTACTGTAGCAGTACCTCCTACATACAAAGCCACGGCACGGCTGACACTACGTCACTAAAGTCGTCCTTATCTGCGTACAGAATGGTTGCCATATGAAGCCACTTATCGCTGTTATTCCCTTAAGACGAGAGAAAATGAAAACTAGTCCCCCTCCCCTTACAGAAGGCTTATATCATTTGGTTTTAAATAAATAAATATGTATATCCGATTTGCCCTTCATCGACTGCATTTTCCTAATTTCAAATACGTATCTTAACTTTTCTTAAATAATTTTTACACTTAAAATAATGGAACAGAAATTGAGTTAACATACTTCAGATGGTGGTAATAAAATATATGTTTAAGATCTGGCTGTTGGTGGTTTGTTTTTTGAATATATATTTCATAAATATTCTACTAAATATTGTTAAACCTAATATTGTTACTAAATATTGTTATCCTTGCTAAATATTGATGCCTTAATAAAAAGGCAACAAACAATAATGCATAATGACAAGTTAACAGTTGATTAAAACTAAAAATCCTTAATCCTAAATTTATTAATCATGTTTTATTTTTGCAATATCAGTTTTCAACATTTGCTATTTACACATATTTGCTTAGTAATTTTCCGGTTTTGATCTTGTTCACTTTACTGTAGGATTGAATTTTGTAACATATAATAAACCTGGAGTAGGATTTGAATGCTATTTTTGAGCAATATGAAAAATACTATTTTTGAGCATATATTGGTATTTATTCAGTGTTAATTTTCAATATAGGCGCAAAAAATTCTATACATTTAAGCTTTTTCAATTAGATTCCTATTTTTGAAGAATATGTAATTGCATCTTTCTCAATAACAAAAAAAGAAAATTGCAAAAATTCAACAAACTTTACACTTGTTTGGAATTCAAAATTCTCAAGTTTCATTCTTATCATTTAATGTCTGTCACATCCCTTTTGTTTAATGTGTGCATATATAATTTTCTTGTAACTAGTAAATTTTTAAGACACAATAACACGCCGAATAAATACTAATTCAGAAGACAAACAAAAAAATTAGCGTTATATTTACAAAATTTCCACAGGACTAGTTTCGATGGTTTTACCGAACCACCATCCTCAGCTGCAAAACCGCAAATGAACAAGATAGGAAAAAATGATTAGATAAGATAAGAAAGCCTGGACAAGAATGAGCAAGTGGCGCCATCTTTTGGTGAAATCAGAACTAAAACATAATTTCTTTAAAGACCGAAGGCAAATTTGGATTGGAATTAGGATCGTTAACTAGAACAGAAAGATTTTTATGAATGTGAAATGCCTCTAGCAAATCCAGTTCTCCAATGGAAGATGTTTTTTGAATAATTTTGGCAGCAGAAAAATTGAAAGTGTGATTTTCGGACCAACAATGTTGCGCAACAGAAGACTTCTGTGTTTCCTTTTTTCTAACATATGCCTCATGTTCCTTGACGCGAAATTTTAAGGCTCTCTTAGTTTGGCCAATGTAAATTAAACCACACTGGCAAGGAATCCTATAAATACCGCAGGAATTCATATCCGGAATGGGGTCCTTAAGTATGGAACTCGGAATTTTATTGACGGGAGAATAAACAACCGGAAAGTTAAATTTCTGCAAAATATGTGCAACTTTATAGCTAATTGATGGAAAGAAGGGAATGACAACAGAATTTTTATAATCTCCTAAAACAGGAGAGTGCCTTTTAGTGTGTTGAGATGAGAATTTTCTAACTGCTTGATTAATAATGTTGGGTGAAAAGCCCCTGTCAATAGCTATTGCTTTTAAATAATTTAGTTCTTCATCAAGGGCTAGTCTGGAGGAGCAAACTTGAAGAGCACGGAAAACATACGAATAAAATGAAGCTAACTTTTGTTTAGTCGGATGACATGATTTAAAGTGTGGTGGAAGGCAAACCGATGAAGGTTTAAGGTAAACTGTAGTACTGAAGTTGGATGTGTTACGTGTGACCAGAATGTCGAGAAACGGAAGAGAATTGCAAGTCTCAAGTTCAAAAGTGAACTCAATAGCAGGATCAATAGAATTCATTGCTGGAAGAACTTTATTTAAATCATCTTTATTACCTTCAAACAGGGTAAAAGTATCGTCTACGTAGCAGAACCATGCCGGGAAGTTTAAAGTTTCAAACAATTTTGATTCATAATAATGCATGTAGATATCAGCCAGGATGGGACTGAGGGGGCTTCCCATGGCTAATCCCTCAGTTTGCTTATAATATTTATTTCGGAAAACAAAATGTGTTTGTTTCAAACAGAGTTGAGTGAGAGAAATTAGCTCATCAATTTCGATGTATAGTTACACGCGTTCAGCTCATTCTGGAAAGTATCAGCTTTTCCCACAAGTGCTATGCAAAATAATATGTTTGGGCATATCACGTCGTTTGCTCACATTTCCACGGATTGAGAATAAAAAAATAAGATATTACTTAGCCCATTTGAATAATAATAATTTCATCAAAGACTTAGCACGTAAACAAAACACACTTTATTTCCACTGCCGGTCGAGCACATGGTTATCAGTACATCAGGTTACAGTTGAATTGCAGTTAAAAAAAAAACACAAGAGAAAAATTAGGAACTTAGGCAATCAAATAAACAAACAAAAAAAAAAATTACAAAAACACTTTAAAAAAATCAGTTTTGCAATATCTACGATCAACCAGTATTTTTCCTTTCTAATTAATCATTATTTTATAATTTATTATTATTATTTCCCACAATTTCATGCTAGCAGGCAAGCCATAACTGTGAATAGACTGCTTCCTGCATAGTGCAGCCGTCTGGTGGTGAGATAGTAAAGTGAATGTTGCTCTAACAGATGCAAGAGAAATGAAATTCACGAAGTCTGGTTTCTAGACATCTTAATGCACCCTCCACATTTCCTATCTTGTTTATTTGCGGTTTTGAAGCTGAGGATGGTGGTTCGGTAAAACCATCGAATCTAGTCCTGTGGAAGTTTTGTAAATATAACGCTGATTTTTGTTGTTTTTCTTCTGAATTAGTATTTATTCGGCGTGTTATTGTGTCTTAATTATAGAAGCCCCAAACAGGCTTACTTTTTGCTTTCTTTTTTGCACGTGGTGTGGCCGCCATTTTGTGATTGCATGAGTTTCGGTAAGTACATTTTTGCAATTTTCAAGTTATGTTTATGTTTTGTATATTTGGATATTGTGCTTTGCTTGTATGATTTCATGCATTTTGCTTACAAAAGTTTTGTTTTCTATTCATTTCAGTGAGGTATTTTTCTGCTGTTTTGTGTGTGCTTTATTATTTCTTAGTTAATTTAGTTTGATTTTTTGCATTGTTTATCATGCCCTCATCCGTTAATCGTTTCACTAAATTACGCCTGAAACGGCAAAAATTCCTGAATCCTTGACTGAATTTCTTGACTTTTTACTTAAATGTAAATGTAAAAAATTTATCCCCAATTTTATTCAACTCAAATCTGATCAAAAACCTTAGAGTCGCGTTTCAAGAATTCTGTTAAATTGCAAGCTTGCCTTACTTCGGTCCGTCATAAGGGACGCACGTCAACAATTGTCCAAAATTGAACATGAACTCTATAAGCTTCATCTGGAACTCGCTAAATCATATCCAAAATTCACTGCCCTTGAACAAAAGTCTTGGTCTAGAACGGAGAATGCAGTTAACCGTCATAAAAACACCCTTGCAGTTAAATTCGAAAAAGTCCTTTTACAGTCTTCCAGTTCAAGTAGTTCAAAAATCTTCCCATTGTAAACATCAAGCCAATAGTTAATATTTCTAATGTTAGTCTTTCAGAAGAACAAGAGAGAATTCTAAAATATAATTTTAACTTCTCACAAACCTGTAAACCCTCGATTCCAAAGATTTTGGCTCCTATCGAAAAAACTTTCAAGTTCAGTAAAGTTTCAGATACACAGAAAGAAATGATTAGGCATCTTATCGCTCATAATGTGAAATTCAATAATAAACCTTTGAAACCAAATCTAACTGCGAGAGAAAGAGCTACAATGTGCGAAATTCATTCTAACCCGGATATTATCATTTCAAAGGCCGACAAAGGTGGCCAGACAGTCGTCATGGATAAGAACACTTACATCGATGGTGTCACTAAACTCTTAAACGAAGGACCATATAATCCGATCCCTAAAGATCCTTCACCTTCCGACTTGTCAAAAATAAAAACTGCGATCAAATCTTCGCAAATCATTTCAAGCAACTTAAAACATTCGCTTATCCCATCTGTTGCGAATTGTGCCAAATTATATGCTCTTCCCAAAATTCATAAAAGTGGTATTCCTTTTCCGCCCTATTGTATCAAATTTAGGTACTGCCTCGTATCCTTTAGCTAAATATTTGGTTTCTAGATTTTCCACTCTCTTAGACAATAACATTTACACCATACAAAAATTTGTTTGTAAAAAGGTTAAAAACATTTCTCCTCTTCCGTAATTTACTCATGGTTTCTTTTGATGTAAAATCATTATTCACCAATGTCCCGGTGGAGGGTGCATTAAGATGTCTAGAAACCAGACTTCGCGAATTTCGTTTCTCTTGCATCGAAATTGATGAGCTAATT